GTTGTCAGTGGTCGCCGGCTTACAGATACCCTCTTTATTCTCTTTGCTATAATCCGTCGGTTTTCTCCCTTTCCGACGTATATCTGACTCCCAATCGCGTACCCCATCCCTCATACAGGTCTTACTTGACTGTAATTTACTTGCGTATAAATTTGTTTTTAGTTTCAATAAATACTTTTCTAAATATTAACATTTTTATAAACGGGATTTATATACTGAGCGGGCCTTAGTACTATTATACTAAAATTTATGAATAATTTATATATTTTATGAATAAAGTTTACACAATTGTATGTTCCTTAAAAAATAGTCCATTTATTTTGTGTTTTTATAAATGTATGCAAAAATAATGTTTAAAACATATTTTAATAATCCCTTTTATGAAATAATTGTGCACGAAACATTTAAAATGTAGAGTGCAAAAATAATACTGTATTTACAAATGTTTTAAAAACAAGTTAATACAATTTTAACAATATCTTAATAATCTCATGAAAAAATATTTTGCACCTCGATACATTTAAAATGTAGTGTGTGCTACCACAATCAAGCGCTAACTTCAACCGGAATATACGCGCACATAATATACCCTGCTCTATCCGATAGCACAGGCGCCAACCAGATAGTGCCCGGCGTATAGAGGGAGTCGATGACCAGGGTCTGTGTAAAGGTTCGCTTATCGCCCGCATTCATGGGACAGACTGTGTGGTGGCAGACATTCCGGTCGAAACCACTTTGTTTGGCCGATATGTCCACCCATGCACTGCCCGTATACGCTTGCAATGTAAATAGGGGGGCGTAGCTGTGTTGATCTTGTTAAATTTATGAATTTACAACAATTATTTCAATGTTACCAATGACACGCAATTAGTATAATACTAGATTATGCCATTCCCGGCGATTAAAATAACAATTTTGGTAAACGTATTAATTCGTAGAAATTATTTCATTTATGCCTCAATAGAGACCTACTGTATGCTCGGTATAGCACTGTAGCCAGAGTTGCGAAAAACAAACATATCATAAACAGTAGTACTGTTCCGTCCAGACTATAAGGATAAGGTGCCAATCAATAGGTTTTTTTAGTTAAATCAAAGACTCATTGGCAGGCATTCAGCGAAAGCGTTGCGAAATATGAGTGCAATCGGGTTAGCATAGGGAAAGGTAGGGAGGGATAGGCACGGGTTGAGATACAGTAGGGATATGGGAGTAACCATAGAGATAGGGGGTAGGGATAGTTATTGGGATTGGGGGAATGGGGAAAGGGACTACACTCAAACAGAATATGTATGGATTATATCTCGGTATTATCAATTTATTTTGTAATATTTGTGAATTTGTATATATTTACTTTTTGTATAAATGTCTTTTAAATAACCTTGTTGGCAATTATTAGAAAACCTTAAAGCCCGGGATCACTACCATTGTATGATATATTATTATATATTAAATTTATCATCCCTGTAAATAAATAAAATATTATATAAAACTCACTTGCTAAGAAGTCCATCTTAAGCGTAACGCTTGAGCCTTGTTTCAAAACGCACGGGTCATTAGTACAACCAGCGAGGTCAACACTGATCGCTGTGGGATATCCTATTATTTTATTGAATAATATACAGAATATTAATTTTTATGTATTAATTGTACCCGTATTTCATACAAACCTCCGCCACATTCAAAGA